AAAAAAACCCCGAATGGCTGGAGGGCGTTCAACTGCTACGAGCCTTTTGGGGCAGAGCACGGATTTGACAGCTCCACAACGTGAGGATATCCGCTAACACCGCGAGACGGAGGAGAACACTTCCCTGTCCAGCAAAGCCAGCACTGTAAGGTTTCAACTTTCCAACTTTTTTTTCAGTCTCTGAACAGAAGACTGCCTGCCCCTTCGTGTGGAAGATGGTGAGCTCTATCTTGCAGATCGTTTGAAAGCCATCAATATAAGACACTTCTTTTTCCAAATGTCATCCAGTCTTACGTTTTCATGACGATTCGATTTCCCTGATTCTTTCTCGTTTTAAAAATCCAAAGTGCTTTTGGGGACATGCTAAAGGGTAACTGAAGATTGCAAAAAAAAGTCGTCATGGCTGAAGGAGAGAATGAAGTAAGATGGGATGGACTTTGCAGTAGAGATTCAACTACTAGAGAGACAGCACTGGAAAACATTAGGCAAATCATTTTGAGAAAAACTGAGTATCTTCGTTCCGTGAAAGAGACGCCTTATCCATCAGACGGGTTTTCAAATGCTGTTTGTTTGGATGGGTTGAATAAACTTCTTGCTCATCTGCTTATGCTTTCTAAGAGGTGTCCCTTTAAAGATGTAAGAGAGAAAAGTGAGTTTATTTTGAAGAGCGCCCAGGTAAGGAAGAGCATTATAATTACAATTAATACAATGAAATGTTATTTGCACTTATATTCACTTTGTATTTCTAATAGGCTGTTATGTGAACTCATTATAAATGATGAGTTCAATCTACATCTTAAATTTAGAGTATTCTGTAAAACATTGAATTTGGGGTCAAGGCTGTCCATGATGAACTAAAATAAAAGCAATTTTCAAATATAATAAACAAGTATTGTCTTTCTAGAGTGTTTTAGTAGAAATTGCATTCCTCCTGGAAAAATATATGAAAGTTACAGTTAGTTGCAAGACAGATTTTTCCTTATAATCATTTTTACATGTTGTTAGGAAGTATATCCAGTGTGCTTTTCACATTGTTACAGTGTTCTGTGTGTAAAGTTTCACATTTAAATGCCTCTAAAATGATAAAGGATATTAAATGTTTCCTTGTCAGCTTGTTCAAGATAATTGGTGAAACAATTTTCTCTTGTTCTTAAAAACAAAACAAAAAACCCAGTGTCTGTTCTGTAAATGCAACCTTTCTTTTTTCAAAAAAAAAGAATTACATAAAGTAGTAAAAGCTTATGTTATAAAAGAGCTGACATCTTCAGATTTAAAAGTTGAACCCAAGTGGAATGTATGGTAGAAACACTTTTATGGTAAATTACTCAACTAGCTTTCTCTACGTTTGCTTGTTTGTTTTTCTTAAGCACACATACCTATTTAAATTGTGAGTGCAATAGGTTAAACATAGATTTTTCCTGTTTTGCATATAATCAACTTACCCCTTTTTATCAGATTTGTTAAAAGCACTCTTATTTTGAGAGGTTATTGTTAGGTATTAAGAATGCCCAATAACATTCTGTATGCGTGTCAGTCTACTCAGTCCACATATGTTCAAAGTCATAGTGTCAGTTTTTAAATTTTTCGATTTACTTGGGTATATATAGAGGTTAAGATGGACAGTTTTTCTATTCTGGCTTGAATTTAGCAATAGAAAAATAGTCGTGTCCACAAATTGAAGACTTAAGATTTTGGGATATTTCTTCTTACAAATACTTTGGAAATAATCATTACAGTTCATTTATCCGGAGTTACCAGAGAGGAATTATTTTTCTAAATACCTGAAGTTTACTCTTTTAAGCATCAAAAATTATTTATCATTCAGACTGTGGTGACTACAACAACCTTTTTTTTTGTAATGGGGTTATCATACACATCGAGTACTGTTGCATAGCTAAAGGTGGAGCATATAAGACTATGTGATTCATGTTTTTTGAATTCTCGTGTTCAATTTTTATAGTTTTTTGTACTTTGCTGTCAGTATACTTCACATTGGTCTCCTCTTGAACCTTTTATTTTGTTTCTTATTTATGTTAGAATGGGAAACCAGATAACCAATTTTGTTAAGTTATAATGAAAACAAGTAATTAGGCTCTGGAGAATATAGGGTCAAAGGACTGTAACAGAATGGTAAGTAAATGGGTACTGGGGTCAGACAGCCCTTGGCTCAAATTATACTCCTTTATTAAAGTAGTGCATAACCTTGGACAAGTAAGTTGCTTGTTTTAGCTTGGATTTCCACATCTGTAAAATGAGAATAATAACAGGTGTTGTGAGAATTAAATGCGATTTAAAGTGCCCCAATATATAGTGGATGCTCCTCTCCTCTTTCACATGTGAAGTACATGGACTGTGTGATATATATTTCAAGACTCATTGATCCTGCAAAATGATGCAAGAATCTCCTCTACCGTAAAGATTTCCTGTAGATTTGTCCTCTCTTTTTCATCTCTGCATCTATTGCAGTTTATTTCTGCCACAATTTTAACAGACACTCATAATGTGCTATAATCATGTCAGTGTGTCTTTCTCCCCCAGGAGGGCTGTAAGTTCTCAAAAGTATTGGCTGGGACCTGGAAGCTACTAAATAAATATCAAGTGGATGAACAAATTTATATTTGGCTTTTATTTCTTATCAGTCTGAATAGATGAAGTTATCAAATTAGGGAGTTTCCACCCCCACATTATTCAGTCATGCCTTCATTCCACAAAAGTTTATGGAACCCAGGTAAATACCATTTTAAGAACTGTGAACCAGTGGTGAACAGTTTTGACATTCTGCTGAAGGGATACAGATGATAAAGAAGTAAACCAATAATGTAGTTTTAGATAGGGAAGACTTCCCTGAAGAGATGACATTTAAGCAGAGATTTTATGAATAAATATTCTGGCAAAAATGATATTTTTGTGGGGTGCATTCCATACATAGGGAACACTATGTGTGGAGGCCTCATGGCAAGAAAGAACAGATGAGTTCTCGGAACTGCAAGTAATGCAATGTGGTTAATGTATACAGTTTGAGGTGAGTTTGAAAGCTGAAGCATGTGTTCTACAGTCAGACCTGGCTCCAACATTTGATTTGCTTTACAACCTTACATAAATTATATAATCTCTCCTTGACTCAATTCTCTCATCTGCAAAATGGGGATAATGCTAATGGTTCCTGCCTCACAATGAGAATAAAATGAAATAATGCTTTTGAAGCATAGCACAGTCCCTAGCACATTAGAAATGCTCAGTAATCTTTGGAATTCTTACTGTTTTTAGGCAGCCAGATAACAGGATCTTGTAAGCCATGTTAAGAGTTACAGACTTTATCTTAAAACAGTGGGAAGCCACTGAGTGTTTTGAGCAAGATGGTGACATGATCCATGGTGTATTAGAAGGATCACTTTGGACACAATGAGAATGGATTTCAGGAGTCAAGGGTGTATGTGCAATATCAGTTGTGAGGTTGTCTGCTACTCTAAAGCAAAATGGTGGAGTAGGAGATAGTGGAAAAAGTAAATGGATTTGGGAGATAGCTAGGAGTTAGAAACCATAGGATGTCGTATGTAATTGGATCCAGGAGATAAAGAAAATAACAAAATCAAGGATGGTTCTAAAGTTTCTGGCTTTAACTACTTGATGAATAGTTCAGTCATTTCTTGAGACAGAAGAATGGTAGAGAGTCATTTAAGGGGTCATAATGAGTCCGTTTTAGACATATTGAGATTATGTTGCCTATGTTACATCTGATTAGAAATAGTTCCTAAAGGGATTTCTGCCTTTACTACCACCCTTCTAGTTCTGCCATTGTTACCTCTCATTTCTCCAGGCTTAACCCATCCTCCACATAACTGCAGAGCCATTTATCTAAAATGAAAATCTGACCATGTTTCTCTCCTACCTTTAAAATACGATAGAATCTAAACTTAAGTATTCCAGCATCAATCTGGCTTCCACTTAACTACTCTGGCCTCACTGCCCACACTCTATCATCAGCCTTGCAGGGGAGACTAAATAATTCAAATGTAGTGCTCCATAATGCTTTTTGTTATTCTTTAGTAAAGCAGCAAAAGCTGAAGTGCATTTGCAATTCCTTCAGGTGATCCTGAAGACCCTTAATTGCTATAAGTCAGCTCAGAGGACTGTAGTCAAGAAGGGAGCGATGGTGAGGCAATGGTAGTATGGATTCAACTTAAAATGGCTAAACCTGTAAAAAATTGGCACATTCGGAGACAGCATTCTGTTCTCAATTGATTTCATGTCAACATGCTTAAATCTGTTCAACACATCTTTGAGAACTATTCTGTGACAGACACTGTACTCAGGACTGGAAGATCAATAAGGGTTGTTCCCTGCTTTTGAAGATTTTCCATTCTCATAGAAGGCTTTATTTATGCTTTTTAAAAAAATTTAACCCTGTAATACTTTTTTGATATGATTGATT